ATAATCCAAAGTTTTAAATCTCGTATAAATTATCAAAAATGATCTTCTTTTAATTCAAATTACATAATTCTATAATCGAATTTTTTCATACTTACATCAAACATCCAAGTTGGTTTGATAAAGATTTTATTACGATCCTCTCACCCAGGATTTTAACTAGTAATGAAACTTTTTTATGAAATTCACTTAACCAAGATTTTTTCTTTTCTTTTCTTTTTTTTTTTTTTTTTTCTTAAGCATCTTGTTGGAAATATCTAAAATTCTTAAAATTGACTGTGAAAATAGCAGGATTAGATTGAGTGACACACCGTTGACCCATTTTTAGGTTTCCTTTCCAGAGGCTTTTCCCTCTCACCGAGTCGATAAATTCGGAATGGTTAGTACCGAGGCTGTCGAATTTAACCAGGCAAATACTAGTACTGATTGCTTTCACTTTGAAATTGAATAAGTTAGGTCGATGCAGTTGTTTCGTTCGCATTCGAGTTGTCCATGTTCCATTTATCGCGACTTGGCAGTTGCTTTTTAGCGATGTTCGAGTACCCGGGCTGATTAATTCGATCAATCATCCCGCGTCATCTGCTGGATGCAATTACTTACAGCCCCTTTAATCGGACGTTTTAATCGGATCTATCTCTACAACACGCTGTGTAATCGAGTCATAGAAGAGGATATGCTTGATAGAAACTGTCACACTTAGATCAGCCACGATGTGTCCACGAGTGGTGTCAATTTCACCGATATCCAACAAATCAAAATTTTCAATCAACAAGAATCATAAATCGGATTAATTCTACCGATTCAAACGGTCCAGATACGTTTGGTAATCTTTAAAAACAGAATGACAATTCTCGAGTTAGAAATTGTGATCTAGTTCTAGATTTTATTTTCAAAAATAATAATATTTATTAATAATAATTTAATCGTAGTTGAAACTTAACGTCATTTCGATCGTTTAATCAAATACACGATATAAAAATATATCCAAATTATTTTCTAAACACAAATATCTAATTTTATCCTTCATTTCAAAATCTTATTTTATATTATTATGAATTCTATTATATATAAATTCTTTTCATTTACAAAATATAAAAATCTAACTTTAATCTTCTTAAGAAATATACATCGATCAATGACTCTTCAACTTTATCGAGAATAATAATCATTCGTGAAAAATTAAATATTAATTATACATTTTAAGATGAAAATTTTCTAAAAATCCATCACATTTTTTAAAATTACGAATCATCGCTTTGGAAAAAGCGAAATTCCCCTTTTTATTCTTAAGTGATTCATAGATGTTTATCCTAAATTTCGAGTCGTCCTATAAAACGTAGCAGCAATCAATATATACGTGTACGAACGTTACAGCGAGAAAAACAGAGCAAAATAGGTGACCTAATCTCCGTAAGCTTAACTCGACCCTGGACGATCAATTCGTGTCCGTGATCTTTTCGAGATGGCCGTGTGTCGATAGGGACATTGTGTGCAATTTTAAGCTGATGGCTGGTATTTCCGTGGACGTAAGCAGCGCCACGTGACCAGGGCAGGATCTCCAGCGCGGATACACCGAAAAGCTCCTGACTGGTCGACTACGCGGAGCCGTTTATCGATTTTCAAAGCGGCATTGCCCGAAACGCCGCTTTCCAGGCCTCGTCGTTTCCCTCCCTATTCCATATCCAACGTGTGGAACCAAAGGTATGGAGAATTCTAAGTTGATCGTGGCCTTGAAACACGGTATGACACAGCAATATACATTAACGATATTTCTCGTATTTTCGACCCAGGGTAACAACGTAGCATATTAATTAAAATTTTGTTTGTAATTAATAAAAAGGAAAGGAAAAAATTTTTATTCGTTGTATTGGGTTCGACAAATAATTGTTGAGTATCTATTTTTCTTTTTTAATGCTATTATAATTTTTTTATCAAGAGATCTGTAACACGTTAAAAGTTATTATTATTTTGTTAGAATATGCGTAATATTTCTATTGAAAATAATAAAGAAAGATTAATAAGGAATAGCAATCGATGGAAGATTTAAATTTTAAGAAAATTTTGGATTGTACTATAATTTTTATTCTAAAAAAAAAAGCGAATCGTTATATCTTATTACTTAATTTTAAGATACTACACAATGACGACAAATGCAATTAATAATTTGAAGATTATTTTTTCAACAATTTTTAAATTTTTGCATCGTTTCAGAATTAAGAAATATGCAAAGAAATTATTTTGTTCGTTCGACAAAAAAAAATTTAATTTGGAAAGGGTTAAGATGCAAGACGAGCGCGTTTAATTATACCGAACAATAAATATCGATTTCTAATAAAGCCAGAAGACACAAGTCGAGCGGTTTAGTTCCCATCTTTTCCATCCGGATCGGATATTAGTAATTGGAATTACGAGTTTCCATCGTAAACCTTCGCTACCTCCAAACAATCAACTTCCGTGTGTAGTAACGTAAACTGCATACAGATGCAAGATACTAAACTTAGAATTCTACCAAAGTTCAACCGGGCAGAGTGAATTTGATCAAACGCAAAAATAATCAACAAATCAGTCTGCTAGTTTATTATAATTGAAACGTAAATATTATTTCTAATAATCTTAGATTTTTATGACAATGAACGTAATAAATAATTATACGATAATTAAAAATTATTTATGAAGTAAGAACTATTAACTTCTCATCGTTTCCTGTTAATTAATTTATTTTTATTAAATTATTTTTTGTCGTAGTATATATTTCTTCATATTATATATCTATTTTTTTTTTTTTTTATTAGTAATTCAGCATTCTTAAATTCATTTTATCTATCTCAAAGTCTTTAAATATTTTCTGAATTTTTAAGAATCCTAAAAAAAATCCTAAATTATTTTAATCATCTTTACTTTATTATCCAATAAATTCTTAAAGTAATTATTAAAAAACTTCTTCTTCGATAACAAAAAATAATGCAGCAGTTAAAATATTTAAAACTTTATATTCGAATGAACCTAAAATTTACTATTCGAATATAAAAAAAATATTGTTTCTCTATTTCTTCTAATTATCATAAAATTTTTCTTTGCATAATTAATACAATATGTTATATAAATAATATTTTTTATTATATTATATACATTTCAAAATATAGATGTTAAATCTTATAATATAAAAAAAATAAAATTAATAGAATCGTTAAAACCAGAATCCTTTAAACAATCGCCTACATTCTTCCGATTGAGATAACCGATTGACTGAACTCTGATTGAAAAACTGAAATTTCCCAATTGAAAGCGAATTAATTGAAAATCCGAACCGAGCAAGATTTCAAGATTTAACAC